AGCACCTGCACGACCTCAGCCCACACCCACAGCCCTCTGCCCACCCTGACCTCTGCACCCTCACACACCCACAGCTCCCTGTACCCCCCTCACACACCCTGAGCCCCCTGACCACTCCACCCCCACACATACCCAGCCCCCCATGCCCTGACTCCTGAACCCCCCCCACATCCCCACTCCCATCCTGAGCACCAAATGTGAGCGCCTGCACCCCTCGCACAAAACAGGAGCGGCCCCAGGTAAGCGCTCCACACCCCAACCTTCTGCCCCAACCCTGAGCCCCTTCCCTCATCCTAGCTTCTGGCCAGACCCTGCACCCCAATGTATTTTTTACAACATTAGGAAAGATCAAAAGTGGTCCGAAAGAGACCCTCTGCAATTTTCAAGTGGTCTGTAGAAAAATAAGTTAGACTACAAGAACAATCAAGGTACCTCACTTTATTTTTATTGACTTGCTATTACTTATAGGAGGAGGATGAAGGGGGGGGGGAATGGAAAAACGGGCGTGGGGGGTGATAAGAGAAAATGTTCTTTTTCTTGGCTGGGTCCCAGGGAGGGGCCCCAAAAATGAAGCTGAGCACAGGGCCAAGGGGCCCCCATTAACTCTAAATCCACCACTGGCTGTCACGTCACCTGGGCTGGGGATACTGTGTAAGCTGATCCCCACAGTCTCCAACCTACCTGGGCAGTACAGCTGACATGGCCCTGCCCCTTAGCTCCTTTCCACTCCCTAGCCCACCCACTCCTTGCTTCCCATCACTTAAGGCTTAGCCCTCTCACTTTTAAAAATGATTGCTTGCCCCTCCTCCCCTTCTCAGGCTTTTCTGGCACCCCTGTTGTCAGGTATCCAGTTTTAGACTGGAAACTCCAGTAGAAAATGGGACGTGGGTGTCCGGTTAGCAGTGCTGACCGGAAACTAAAAGTCTGGTTATAGAAGTAACCACATTACCCTCTGCTCCTCCCGCTCCCAACACCCAGCCGAGAGGACTGGAAGAGAACCTGTCCCGCTGCTGCTGGATGTCACGTAGTGTGGGGGAGTCAGAGTCCTGCACCCCCTACTTGGTGTGATTCACCGTGACTCTCAGCCAGCCAGTAAAACAGAAGGTTTATTAGATGACAGGAACACAGTAAAATCAGAGCTTGTAGGTATGGAAAACAGGACCCCTCAGTCAGGTCCGTCTTGTGGGGTAGGAAGCCCAGACAACAGTGCTGGGCCTCCCTCCGTTTCCCCAGCCAGCTCCACACTGCAATCCCCTCCAGCCCCTCCTTTGTCTCTTTCCCCGGGCCAGGAGGCTACCTGATCTCTTTGTTCTCCAACACCTTCAGTTGGCACCTTGCAGGGGAGGGGCCCAGGTCATCAGTTGCCAGGAGACCGTGTGTCAGCCATTTTCTGTGCAGACAGCATCACACCTGCCCTCTAGGGCTCTGCAACAATCACACACCCTTATCCCACCACCTAGATACTTAAGAAATGCGTAGGGGAAACTGAGGCAGTCACACAGTATTCAGAGAAAACATTAAGAACATTCCCACTTTGTCACAGTGGAGGAGGGGCAGCTCAGTGCAGAGAGACGAAGAGAATGGGCTAGAACCAGGGAGAAGGTAGGTACGCGCTCTCTGTGGGCAGGGGTGGGGGGGATCCTGTTTACCCCCTCCTCAGCCCTGCTGTGCTTGCCGTTTACCCCTGCCCCCTCCCTTACTCCAGGGACCAACCTGAGCTCCCGCCCCACTGTGCTTTTGCCTCCGGCCCCTTTTACAGTCATTCCCCGGGGGGCCCACAAATATGTTTGGAGCCGGGCCCACAAAAAGTTAATCCGGCCCTGCTGGGGGCACTGTTGTCTTTTTAATCTGACTAAAGAGAAACTTTTGCACTCACTTCCAGCTAGAGTGAACGTCAGAGTGTGGCTGTGATGCGTTTTGTGCAGATCCTTACTCGTGAGGGCATTCTGCACACAGTATTTTAAAATTCTGCAAGTTTTATTTGTCAAGAAATAAATGCAGAGGCTCCAGCATGGCAGTGGGGAGCACAGGCCACTGGCTGCATGAAGGTGGGAGATCACCCTGCAGTTCCCCCCACCCCCAGGACATGGACTCAGTAGTGAAGCTGCACCCAACCCTGACACAGCATAAGGACTGGACCTGCCCCAGAAACACCCTGGGGCCCTGCCCCTCTATGCCAGGTGCACCAGGTGTGGGACAGGCAGGCTCAACCAGGCAGGATCCACATGTGGGAGAATCTGGATACAGGCAGCTCAGTGGGGAGGCTTAGGTGTGGAGGCATCTGGATGTGCACAGGCTCGTTGGGGGAGGGGGTTCCAGGTGCAGGGGCAATGGGCTCTGCAGGGGCTTCCAGATGAAGATGGTTGGGGATCAGTAGGAGAGTCTGGGTGCTGGGGGAGTGGGGCTTGGTGGGGTGGTGGTCTGGGTGCAGCTAGTTGGGGGTCAGTGGTGGGGTCTGGATGTGGGGGCTCAGGCATCAGGGTGGGGGTTTGAGTGCAGGGAGCTCAGTGGGCAGTGGTCTGGGTGCAGGGGGGCTCCAGATGCAGGGGTTGAGGTTTGGTGGGGTGAGGTTTGGGTATGGAGGGCTTGGGGAGTTCTGGATGTACCATGTGAAGTTTGGCAGGGGTAGCTGAGAATGGGAGGCCCAGATGCATGGGGGTTGGGTGGATGGGGGAGCAGCTCCCCACACAGTGACCCCTCTCCCCACAGCTGAGGAGCAATGGGGGCAGAAAGCAGGGGAGGATGATGAGCTTCCTGCAGCTGGGGGAGGTTTCTGGGGGTGGGTCTGACACAGCCCCAGTCACCCCTTGCAGGGGAAGAGGAAGTCCTGTCCTGTCCTGCCTCCAGCCCAGAGGGGACTAGCAGCTAATCCCAGCTCAGGGTAGGAGCCACTGGCTGGGGTGTCCCCAGGCTTGCGGTGATTTACCTCTCTGCTAGCTACTCCAGGTGCCTGAAACGATATACCTGCACTGCTAGGGATTGGTGCATGACTGCTCTTGCAGCTTCCCTTTTAGAAAGCAATTTTTCTGTGGGGAAGCCAAGAAATCCGCAGGTGACATGAATTCTGTGCACAGGCAGTGGCATAGAATTCCCCCAGGAGAAACATCCTGTTGTGTAAATTTAAAAACAAAGACAAGTACATTGAGGTTATGCTGTTATCTGATCCTGCACAGCAGTCACTATAATAAGCAATAAGTGACTATTATACCAGTCCTTCAGCTTGCATGTTATCTCGTCGTCTTTGTAGGATACATGCTGTGTTTAGTGTTCCAGTTTCTGTCTGTCTGGCTAAATAATTTTATTAGCATATATAGGTTGAAACAAAAATCAGTATAACTACCCAAAGGAGCAGTAAAAATTAGTTTTCTGTTAGAGATTGACTTTCAAATTCAAGAAAAATTGTCCTACTGGGAAACCCAGGATAACTTGATGCTTACACTAAAATATACATTTATAAGCTTTTGATTTAAATGTAAAACAAACTATTTGGAGCCTGTTCTTCCAAGATGCAGAGCTTTCTCTATTTCATCTAGCCCAATTGGTATTGGAAACTCATCATCTGGAGGGTTGGGCCTTAACAATCTGCTTAAGGATGTGAGCCTACTCTCTCTCAGAAGGAGGTGAATGTTTTGCTGTTGACTTCACTGGCAACAGAAGAGGGCCTTGATGAGGCAAGCACTTGAACAGCCTTTCAGGCAGCTACTCAGGGGTGGGGGGACGTGACTATAGAGAAGGTCTCTGAAAGCTTGGTTGTGGTATGTTAGAGGACAGATGTTATTACCACTTGAGGCCCATAAAGGATGAAACTTCTAAATCTAGCAAATAAATAAATAGGATATCTCTATCTCCTAGAACTGGAAGGGACCTTGAAAGGTCATTGAGTCCAGCCCCCTGCCTTCACTAGCAGGACCAAGTACTGATTTTTGCCCCAGATCCTTAAGTGACCCCCTCAAAGATTGAGCTCACAACCCTGGGTTTAGCAAGCCAATGCTCAAACCACTGAGCTATCCCTCCCCCCAAGCAGTAAGATGAAACTGACAAGACTGATCAATAAACTTTGTATTACCAAATCTCTTCTCCTCCGCCCCCCGATAAGCCACACATACTACAAACCAAACCCTTTTTCCAGGAACAATAACAATAGAATGATAAACTGATAGGGAGACTGAAGGGACCAGAGGATTGACAACGTGGATATGGCGACTTTCTTCTTGAACCTGTCTTTCTGTGCTACAACTCTTTAAGTTTGTAACAGTTAGTGACATGTCTGGATATAAGCCATGTCTAGCTCCACACACAGTATTCAGTTAGTAACCATGGCAGCTATTTCATCCTTGTCTACTGCCTGTGTTGGCAGATGGTGGTCGTCTTGTAACAGGATCAGCAATTTGGCTTGTTACAATATACATAGTAACTCCTAATCATGCTTGTGCAATCAGTTTGCCTGGTGATCTTTCCTCTGAGCTGCGCATGTTGTTTCATGTGCTGTATGTGCCAATCTATGTGAACGTTCTCCAGGCACTTAACCCGCTGCTGAGGACTTATAGTTGTGCAGTTTTTCACTGAGTGCCTTGATACAAAGTTAGCAAGTACAGAAGGTAACACACACAAACATGTCTGGGGGGAAATGAAACGTATTTAAAAAACAGCTTTGATGGACATAATAGTTGAGACTTTGCCTCTGACTTTAATGTCTATGTTTTAAAAATTAAAGAGAGAACAGGAGTATTTGTGGCACCTTAGAGACTAACAAATTTATTAGAGCATAAGCTTTCGTGGGCTACAGCCCACTTCTTCTTATGCATCAGACTGAGTCGGAGA